GTCTATTTTAGAGTACATTCCATATGCTGCTGAGAAGAATGTAATCTGATGGTGGATGGAACACTTTATACATCTACTAAGTTCATTTGTTCACAGGTTTGATTCAGTTCTGGTATTTCTTTGCTGATTTTCTGTCTAGTTGATCTGCCCCTTTGTCTAAGTGGTCTGTTAAGATCTCCTGCTGTAATTGTGTTATTGCTTATTTGATTTTTCATTTCTGTTAATATTTGTTTTGTATAGTTGGGTGCTCCCAAATTTGGTGCATATATGTTTAAGATTGTTATCTCTTCCTCTTCAAGTTCTCCCCTAATTAATATGTATTAGCCTTCTTTTGTCTGTTTGGATCATTCTTGAAGTTCACATTGTCTGCAAACAGAATAGCTACCCCTGCTTTTTACTGAGATCTTGTTGCATGGAGTATTGTTTTCCATCCTTTGACTTTCAGTCTGTGAGCTTCCTTTTGGGTTAGATGGGTTTTCAGTATACAGGATATTATTGGATGTTGTTTATTTCTTTTAATTGGTGAATTGGTTACAACTGATACATAGTGGTTTATTTTTGACATGTTATCTCTCTGTGTTGATTCTTTACCTTTCCACCCTGTTTAATTGTTTGCCTTGCTTAGTGGTTTTTTCCTATGTCTGTCTAGAATGTCTTTCGGTATTCTTTGAAGGGTTGGTTTGGTGGTCATGAAGTTCTTCAGCTTTTCTTTGTCGTGGAAGTATCTTATTTCTCCATGCATTTTGAAGAACAGTTTAGCAGGATGCATCAGTCTGGGTTGGAAGTCATTTTCCTTTAGGATCTGAAGTACTTAACCCCATGTTCTTCTTGACTTCATTGTTTGTGTTGAGGAGACTGCGGTGATTCTGATAGGCTTTCCTTTATAGGTGATCTGTCTCTCTGTAGCAGCTTTTAATATTGTATTCTTATGTTGGGTTTCTGGGATATTGATTATTACATGTCTGGGTGTAGTTTTATTTGGGTTATGGTTATTTAGAGTTCTATATGCTTCACTAATCTGTATGTCAGTTTCCATTCTCATGTTTGGGAAATTTTCAGCTATTACTTCTGTAACCAGACTCTTGATATGATTTGTGTTGTCACCTTCCTTTTCGTTTCTCCCTATCAATCTTACGTTGTTTTTCTTTGCATCATCTTGCAGTTGTTAAATTGTTATTTCCTGTTCCTTGTTATTTTTAAAACATCTTTCCTGTTCATTAGCTGCAATCATATCTTCGTGGTCTGAAATTGTGTCTTCACTTTCATTGAGGCAGTTTTGCCAACTTTCAGTGGAATTTTTGATTTCTTGTATATCTCTTTGAATCTGCTTCATGCATTCTGTTTGTTTCTTACATTGTTCATTCACGGTTTCCTCTTTTTCTTTGTTCCTCTAGTCTTTTAGTTTTATGTCATCTTAAATATGTTCAGCATTTCTTTCATTACATTTATCGTTTCTTCTTTTATCTGGGAGATTATTTCTGATTTGAGTTCTTTTATAGTTTCCTGGAGTTGTTTCGTTACTTCAGTTATCATTTCTTGAGTTTCAGGTGTATGGCTTATAGTTTCTTCTGTGTCCTTGTCTCCTAGGCTTGCTTGGGTTGGGCTGGAAGTTTGAGGTTGCATTTTGCTCTTTGATTTTGTCATTTTCCTGTATTTCCAGGTTTTGAGCCATGTTTGAAGGGTTCCCCTGTGCACTGAGATTCACCTGGCGTGTTTTTTGCTCCTGTAGCAAGCAACAACTAGCTGCTTGGAGTTCTCTGAAAGTGGGCCAGTGAGGCCTGTGAGGACCTCACATGCATCCTCAGGTGATTTGGGAGGAGGGGTGTGGTCTTAGCACCTGGGAGCGATGTTCCAAGGCTTCCCTGTGTGCTGGGTTTCAACCCATGGGTGCTCATGGCTTGTACTGAATTCAAACCCTTGCCATCTTCTCCCCCCTCCCCACCCTTTTTTTTTTTTTTTTTTTTTTTTTTTTTTTTTTTTTTGTCTTTTGGAGATAGGGTCTTGCTATGCCTTTGGCTCACTTTGTAGCCTAGGCTGATCTTGAATTTGCAGTGATCCTCCTGTGTCAGCCACCTGAGTGCTGAAATTACAGAGTGTACCACCATGCCCACCCAGCCAGTTCCCCATTTGTATAATAATAAACCAAATGGTGTTGTGAACAGACTTGTTATTTCCATCTCCCAAACAAATCAGAATGTGATATTTAACAGTTGATTTACTGGTTTCCAGTTGATGTTAAATTTGCTAACAGCACAACATGACAAGTGCAGGAACTATTACAAAAGAACAAAGCAGAAATTTCAAATGAAAGGTGATTTCAAAACACATAATTGTGTAGTACAACCTTTGAATTTCAGAAAGATTTACATTGGCCTCATATATGGCCAGGAAAAAAACAGGAAAAATTTCAAACTGGTACTCTTGATGTCAACATTGAATCATGGTGGAAATGTTGACAGGGAAACAACAGAAGCCTGAGATGGACAGTTTCTACAGCAAGACTAAAGGCAAAGTAAATGTTAATGTTAAGCAACAAGTATAATGTCACTGAAAACAAAGCATTGGCTAGTGGTGGTTTTATTTGATCCTAAATGTGTGTGGCATAGTTTGATAGCTTATAAAGAAAACAAGTGCAAAATACCATGAAGAACTTCTTTTAGAGAATTGAGGGTGGAATTCATAAAAGAGATCATTTACAACAGAGGAAAAACCAAATGTTTTTACAAACCAGGGAACTGCGCAGAAAAACTGGACCATACTGATGAACTGACAGCTGGACAAGCAGGCACAGGATTACAAAGACCCACTATAACAACAGAAAACAAAAAGATTTCAACTGTGCCCTGCAAAAGGGGCAAGAAAACTAAACATACATCCTATCAGTGCAAACAGAAATTGCACATGGAACATGCAGTTTTCATCTGTAAAGACTGCCTTGGATGTGACATAGAAGCAAAGATTATTTTTGTTGTAGAGTTCTATTGGTATTGTAGTTCACATAGGTTTCTGTTTCTGATGTTATCTCTTTGGTTTTGCCAGCAGATACACAGTTGATGTGAAAATATTGATGTCTATTGTAAGCTGTCATTACACATTTGATATTTTACTGATAAATCTTAATTTCCTGCTAAATGCAAAGTGTCCAATGTGGTAGGAAACTCCTGATGAGAAAGGAAGAGAAGACAAGAATGGCCTGCCACATAGGAAAGGAAAGCCAGGTGCACATGCTGCCAGTGTAAGCAAGACGTGTACATGGAACATGCACTTGTGAAGACTGTCTTGTGTGTGACAGTTGAAGCAAAGATTGTTTTACTTCTTCTTCCTCCTCTTCTTTGTCTTCCTCCTCCTCCTGTTCTTCTCTTTCTCTTCCTCTTCTTCCTTTTCCTCTTCCTCCTCTTCATCATCTTATTTATCTTCGTCTTCCATCATTTTCTTTAAGACACTATCTTCCCGTTTAGCTCAGACTGGCCTGAACCCACTGGTTCTTGAACTCAGAGCAGTCCTCCTGCCTTAGCTTCATGAGTGCTGGAATTACATGCCAAATGCCACCGTGTTTAGCTGCAAAGATTATTTCTGTGTTATACCTTTGTTTGTGTTTACATTGTAGCTTACATAGGTTTTTATTTCTCATGTTATCTCTTAGGTTGTATAAGCAAGTACGCAGCTTACCTGAAAAGATAGATGCTTATTCTAAATGCACAATACATATTAGAAACGTATTATGTAGTTATTTTGGTATTTTATGTTCCTGTTAACTGTACATTGTATAATATAATTAAAAATTCCTGAGAAAACAGCAAGACTGAAAGAAATGTCAAGTATATCCTACAAAAAGGCCAGGAAAGCAAAGCACATGTGCTATTGTTCTAAGAGATTACAGAATATGCAGTTGTAATATGTGAAGACTGTCATATGCCGTAGGTGTGATAATTCAAATAGAAATCATGTTTTTGTAGCATGGTATCAGTGTTTTCATTGTAGTTTATGTAGGAATTTATTTCTCTTGTTCTTTTTTAGACTTTGTACACCAAAAGCAGTCAACATTGAAAAATTTGATGCTTTTTTTAGTAAACAATGTTAAAAATGCAGTACTTTATTTTAGTGATATTTTTCATAGTAAGTACTTATTGTTTAATATAATAAAGCTCATAAAATTTAAATTAATAATAGAGATAATCTAAAGAATAAATGAGTTTGACACATACATGGTTATTACTCTTTTTGGCAAAAAGTGTGTTGTGCTCCACTTTTAACTGCTGAACTGGGTCCTATTGTTAGTATTTATAGATAACAAGTAGTATCATTTTTATCATTTGATTGCATTTCTTAATATTTGTAGGTCTTTTCCAGGTTAGAAAAACCAGAAGTACCAATAAATCTTAACCTGTTTTAGGTACCATTTAACATATGTTTATTCCATTCACAGGCAGCTAAATGGGAAGGTTAAACATGTAGATGGTTAGTGATTGAAACAGCTGGATTTCTGGAAACAACAGAAAGCAGATGATTGGAATGTCTGCATTACAATTTTGACCAAGAATAATTAGGCTTTCCCCTAAATACTATACCGATAACATGAACTAGAGCCTACTAACCCATTTTAATATTTTTGTTGATGTTTTAGGGTTTGTGGGTTTTTTTTTTTTGTTTTTTGGTTTTTGTTTTTTTGAGTTGGGAGTTTCACTAAGTAGTTTAGGCTGGCTTTGAACTCACTATGTAGTCCAAGCTGGTCTCAAATTCACAGAAATACTCCTGCCTCAACCAACCCTATGCTGAGATTACCTTTGTTTTAGAAAATTGTATCTTTTTTTGTTACCAAGCTGTCTTGCCAAGCTACTACTACCAGTACATGACTGATGTGATGTCTAGTACACATTAACTATACTTACTAGAGGACATTTGTCATTGCTATTCTGTTTCTAATTTGCTTGATTTTTATTTCTCCTTTATAGATATTTCTTTTCTAATTTGATGGTGTAGAAATCTTTATTTTTTAACAGGATACATTAATTGTTTGGTCGGAAGCTGAGAACTATGATTTGGCTCTAAGTTTTCAAGAAAAAGCTGGCTGTGATGAGATCTGGGAAAAAATCTGCCAGGTAAGGTCTTTTTTTTTTAGTATTTAACTTTCATTTACATACAGTCTTGAATTTTTTTTCCTTTTTTACTCCCAAGATTTGTATTGGAATGAAAAAATAATTTTGATAACCTAGATGAGATTTTTTGTTTCCATACTGAGAGTATGTAACCCAGAGCCCAGCAGCTGAGCTACACCTATCGTGACCACCCCACACCTTTCTCCATCCTGGAATTTTTTTTTTTATATTTTGCAGCAGATTCTTTCATTTAAAAATTTTAAAAGAAAAAGAAAACTCTTCATCATAATTCTTTTTACCACTTTAGATTTTCATTGTATGTATTCACAACTGATATCCATAGAATATAAAGATCTTTAAACAAAACAGTATTTAAATTATTAGGGGTTTTTTTTTCCCCCTAATAATTGGTCATATGTTTATCCAATATTTATGATGCCAGGCACTATGTTCCAGGCACCAAAAATCATAAGTACTCATGGCTTCAACTCACATGGAACTTACAAGGTAGTATAATATATAAGATATGTGACAACTTTCAGGTGACTAAATGTTTAAACTTTTTATTTTAGAATTTTTTTGTTGCTGTTGAGACAAGATCTCACTATGTAGCTCAATTTGGCCTTGAACTTACTATGTAGCCCAGACTACTTTTAAACTCATGACAGTTCTTTTGCCTCAGCCTCCTGAGTGCTGGAATTATGGGTGTATGCCACCACACACAGCTAGAGCATTTTTTATATCTACAAAAAAATGTAAAGATAATAGAGTTCCTGTATGCCCAGTTCCCTAACAAGCCTTCTGCCTAGCTACATATAAAACATTTGTCACACTTTTTGAACTAATATTAACATAGTACGTTCTTTTCTTTCTTTTTGGGAGAGGTTGGGTTGGTGGTGTGTGTGTTGTTGGTTTTTTTTGTTTTGTTTTGTTTTTGTTTTGTTTTTATTTTGTACCAGGGATCGAACTCACAACCTCACATTTGTCAAGCAGGTGCTTATACTGCTGAGCCAAATCCCTAGCTGTGTTGGGTTTTGTTTTGAGACAGTCTTGCTGTATAGCTCAGCCTGGTCTTGAGCTCACTGTAGCCCAGGCTGTCATAGAATTCACAGTAATCCTCCTGGCTCAGCTTTCCAAATGCTAGGATTATAGGCCTATGTCACCATACCCAGCTAATACAGTGCATTCTTCTTATTAAATGGCATCCATACTTCATTGAGATGATTTTAGCTTTTCCTTGATCCTCTTTTTTGTGTCCCAGCATTTCACATTGCATTTATTAGTCATGTGTCATCCTCTTTAGGCTTGTCTTGGCTATGATGCTTAGTAATTGAGATGTTAAATTAAACATATAATCATTTTCTTTAAATAAGAGATCAATATGTTTCAGTGAATGCCATTCTTTATTATAGTGGCTAGATTTTTTCTGTGTGGTCATTTTCAATTACCTGAGCTTTTCACTGATTTTTTTCACCCTACACCGCATTGTAGTCATTCTTAGCTCTAAGTTTTTTCAAATTAATTTTGTGACTCTTAATAAAATTATTTGTTTTTTCTTTGTCTTCCCAGTAACAGTGGCATACACTGTAATAAAGTGGTTCAACAAAATACACTGTGAACCTTTTCATTCTCTACCAGTATTACTTGATGTGTGGCCCTGAATCAATTAACTTATTTTTCTTTTGTCTTTTTGAGACAGGATCTCACTATGTGGTTCAGGCTGGCTTTGGGCTAACTTTTGTAGCCCAGGCTGGTCATGAACTTGCAATGATCCACCTGCCTGGGAAATGCTGGGATTACAGGAGCGTGCCACTAGGCCCTGCTCAATTAACTTCTTTTTTTTTTTTTTAAATTTTATTGAAAGAAAGACTAAATAAAACAGAAAATGGGTAGAAATAATACATATGTTCAGAGAAAAAATAAACAGTAAGAAATCACTAGTTGATGTTTACATACTGTCTTTTTACACGTAGTTGTTCAAGATACAAAAGTGGAACATATAAAGTGGGAATTCTAACAGCAAGACTGTAAACAGTTCTGTTCAACTGTCCAACAAAAAGGTAGTAACATGGTTGTCAATCTGATACACTTAAACGTACATGCAGTTATCCATATCTTCATTTATGTTGAGATTAAACAAACTAAAGCAGACTAAAGTCATTCTGAACAAAGAATAATAGTATTGCTGGATTTTACATCATGACACTCCAGGATCAGCACTGGGTACTATAGTGTCTTTATTTCTTTTAACTTTATTTAAAGAAAGACTAAATAAAACAGAAAATAGGTAGAAATAATACATACTTTCATAACCTGCTTATAGATTCTACACAAGCATGAGTCTTAACATGTATTTTTATTCTTTCTATGTTAGAGGGAAAAGCAAAACAAAACAAAACATATTCCTACAAACACATGAAACAAGAAAGACATATAAGACCGTTGTACAAGGAGCTCCACCATAGTTCCTGTATTGTCTCTTGTTATCTTCAATAGAACTGGCTATATCATCAGACATAGTATAATTGAATATATCAGTACATAACAGTATTAATAAAAACAGAACTTTGTGTATAGTATAAAACTTCAAAAGCAGGCAGTTATCAAACCAGAATGTGTATCGTAGAGTCTTGTCATCTTCAGTGTAGTTGCCCACACACTCGGACTTGACACCATCAATCATATCAGTTTTGAATAAAATCTGTCGATACCAAACAGCAATCAAACAAACTAGATTCAACTAGATCAGTCATGACAAAACAGTGTAAGTCATACAGCGCTCCAGATTAAGACAACAGGAAATTAAAGATGATTACTGTGCTATATCCTGATGTTTTTGAGATAGCTGTCTGTGCCCTCAAATCTAATGCAAGTAGACAAACTGAGACAAAATATAATCTATCAAAAAAAAAAATCTAAGCAGAGTGGTGCAAGTAATGTGGGTTTTAAATCCTGACACACTATTAACAATATCTTCTGCCATCTTTTTTAAGATTCTCCCTCCTCTTTCAGTTCCCCAGGATGCACTATGCATTTTTAGGTCTCACAACCCTTGGTTTTAAATTGGGAGAGGGGGGAGCAACCTGCTATTTACCTAAGTGGTTCCGAACCTTGTCTCTCCTAGGCTTGATCTCTAATCTCTGATAGTTACCTATTAAAGCCTGTCTTTCCAACCTATCCACAAATACTGGTCTTGTTGCCCCTATTATTCTCTGATTCTCTGTCACATAGAACATTGTTTTCTCGTATTTGATTTTCAGTCCATATACTCTTTCTCATGTTAATTATATTTCCTATAAATAGCATCTCTGTAGACCCTGCCCCCTGATCTACTCCATGTGTAGTTCTTTTTTTTTTAATTTAGTGTATCAAGGCCATCTAAATTAGAGATTATAACCAACCTTCTTTGCCTCATTTCTGTTACGCTCTTTTTTGCCATCAATTGTCTGCTTATCTCCTTTATTCTGTTTTCTAGTCCATTCATTGAGGCCTTTCTGCCACTGTTTCCTGAAGTCTTAGTACTTTTCTCTCTGTCTAGAATGCCCTGCAGTATTCTCTGTAGAGTTCGATTGGTGGTTGCAAATTTCCCAAGTTCCTCTTTGTCTTGGAAGCATCTTGTTTCTCCACTAATTTCTAGAGACAGTTTAGCAGGGTATATCAATCTGGGTTGGAGGTTATTTTCTTTCAGGGCTTGGAATATTTCACTCCAGGCTCTTCTTGACTTGATGGTTTGTGTTGAGAAGTCTGCCGTTATTCTGATGGGCCTTCCTCTATAGGTGATCTGTTTCTTGTCTCTAACAGCTTTTAATATTCTGTTCATATATTGAATTTCTGGGATCTTGATTATTATATGCCTGGGTGTAGCTCTGTTTTGGTTGTAGGTAGCTGCAGTTCTGTGTGCCTCATACATCAGAATATCATTTCCTTTTCCTTTGTTTGGGAAGTTTTCCTTAATTATTTCTGTGAATAGCCTTGTAGTTCTTTTGTTTGTACCCTGCTTCTTCATTCACATTCTTTATTCTCAAGTTGTAGATCCTCTTGTCGTCTTGTAGCCTTTGTATTGTTATTGCTTGTTTCCTTGTTATTTTTTAAAAGTTTTTCCTTTCATAATCCCACATTGCAAAACTGTCCTTCAGTTTGGATAATCTATCCTTAATTTCTTTCAAGCAGATTTGCCATCTTTCCATAGAGTGTTTAATTTTCTGGTAATCTCTTTGAATCTGCTTTATGTATTCTATATTTTCTTTATATTCTTCATGAAATGGTTTTCTCCTATGTGTGAGTTCCTCCCTCCTTCTATGTATCTGCTGTCTGCTTGATGGGTACTTACCATCTCTTTTATTAATCTTCTTATATCTTTCTTTACTTGGCTAAATATTGCACTTTTAAACTCGTCTATGAGGTCCCAAAGGTATCTCTTTATTTCCACTGGTGCCGTGTCTGATATTGCATGTTTGCTGTTCTCATTCTCCTTTGTATTTACCTGTCCTGGGTCAGTGTTCTCAGGGTTGGGACCTGGGGACTTTGTTGTTGCTTCCTCTTCCCATCTTTTTTGTTTCTTCCAGGAGGCCCCATTTTCTTTCTCTGTTGGTTACAATTCTTCTGAAACATTCTGGCTGGTGAACCTTCCCACTGCCCTATGCTAGGGAGTTGCAAACAGGGGCAGCGTATGCTGGCCTCTCCTCTCTGGAGCAGTCAAGCTGCTGAGGCCTGCACTGTATTGCTGTGTGCCGCCTCCTGTCCGGGTTAGTCAAACTTGTGGGGCTTCACTGCGTTAGTGTATACTGCCGTGGTAGGGAATTGATTTCAGATAGCCTATTGGGTTGCCTGACCCAGGCCTAGCACACTCCACCAATCCCATTTGGGAAGGGAACAACTGACTGAAGTCACTGCTGCCCCTTGTACTTGCCAGTCCTGCCTAGTCCCAGAATGTCTTCTGCCAGAGCCCCCTTTTCTGTGGAATGGCTCCACTCCCGTCACTCACCACAGGTCAATGCACAGGC